GAAGCAGGCAGGGTCCTGAAGAACAACCCTTTCAGGTCAAAGAGAACTGAGGATGAGGTCACCATATGTGGTGCTTGCGGCTGGACTGGAATCTGGTTTGGACAACGTGCTGCAAAGGGCATTTTAGAAATGATGGAAGATAAAAGTACAAATAGGCTACACAGAGATGCTGCTGCCAGAGGCAGAAGTCCAGGTGGGGGTGAGGGTGGGGAGAGGAGGCCGAGGGTCAGAGAGGAGAAAGGGGAGGGCCGGGATACGGCCACGGACAAGGCCAAGGGGAGTGCAAGGCGGGCAAAGGAGGGGAGGCCAAGAGGGACGCAGAGCAAGCCCAGGCAGCGGGGACAAAGGGAGGCGACTGCGGGGCAAGGGCAGCGGTGCGGCCCCGCCCCCAGCGAGAGCAGCCCCGCCCCGTCATGGCGGCCCCGCCCCCAGCGAGCGCGGCCCCGCCCCGTCATGGCGGCCCTGCCCCCAGCGAGAGCAGCCCCGCCCCGTCATGGCGGCCCCGCCCCCAGCGAGCGCGGCCCCACCCTGTCATGGCGGCCCCGCCCCCAGCGAGCGCGGCCCCGCCCCGTCACGGCGGCCCCGCCCCCAGCGAGCGCGGCCCCGCCCCCACTGGTGGCCGCAGGGACTCCGCAGGCCTGGGAGCCCTTGGTGGGAAACAAGTTCTGAGTGGGTCTCCCTACCCCAGACTTCTGGTGTGGATCACAACAAACTGGAAAATTCTGAAAGAGATGGGAATACCAGACCACCTGACCTGCCTCTTGAGAAACCTGTATGCAGGTCAGGAAGCAACAGTTAGAACCGGACATGGAACAATGGACTGGTTCCTAATAGGAAAAGGAGTACGTCAAGGCTGTATATTGTCACCCTGCTTATTTAACTTACATGCAGAGTACATCATGAGAAACACTGGGCTGGATGAAGCACAGCTGGAATCAAGATTGCTGGGAGAAACATCAATAACCTCAGATATGCAGATGACACCACCCTTATGGCAGAAAGTGAAGAAGAACTAAAGAGCCTCTTGATGAAAGTGAAAGAGGAGAGTGAAAAAGTTGGCTTAAAGCTCAACGTTCAGAAAACTAAGATCATGGCATCTGGTCCCATCACTTCATGGCAACTAGATGGGGAAACAGTACCGTGGCTGACTTTATTTCTGGGGGCTCCAAAATCACAGCAGATGGTGATTGCAGCCATGAAATTAAAAGACGCTTACTCCTTGGAAGGAAAGTTATGGCCAACCTAGACAGCATATTAAAAAGCAGAGACATTACTTTGCCAACCAAGGTCCATCTAGTCAAGGCTATGGTTTTTCCAGTAGTCATGTATGGATGTGAGAGATGGACTATAAAGAAAGCTGAGCGCCGAAGAATTGATGCTTCTGAACTGTGGTGTTGGAGAAGACTCTTGAGAGTCCCTTGGACTGAAAGGAGATCCAACCAGTCCATCCTGAAGGAGATCAGTCCCGGGTGTTTTTTGGAAGGACTAATGTTGAAGCTGAAACTCCAATACTTTGGCCACCTGATGCAAAGAACTGACTCACTTGAAAAGACCCTGATGCTGGGAAAGATTGAAGGCAGGAGGAGAAAGGGACGACACAGGAGGAGATGGTTGGATGGCATCACCAACTTGATGGACATGAGTTTGAGTAAAGTCCGGGAGTTGCTGATGGGCAGGGAGGCCTGGTGTGCTGCAGGTCCATGGGGTTGCAAAGAGTCTGACACGACTGAGTGAGTGAACTGAACTGAGCTGGGTTCTCTAAGCTGAACATTACCTAATTTATGGGACAAAGTTCTCAGGCATTTTATGACTTTGTGTAAAATATTTTGAAGCACAAATATCCAGTTCAGAAGACTGAGGCTTTTTTTCCCAGATGGCGAACAGCTTAAAGATGTGCTCCTGGCTCTGCCAGGTTTATTTGTAAGGACACTAATTATCCTACTAGAAACAGGTTCCTTTTATAATGATGATTAGCTTGCTTTTTTTTTCCTTTTTTTTCTTTTCAAATTCTGGGAAAAGAATGTATTTCTTCCCTGGCCAACGGAAAGCCTCGGCTTTTCCAGAGCAGAAACTCCCTCACACAGTTAAGTTCTGTTCCCAGGTCACCCCCCACCCACCCCATCAGAAACATCAGGAAGAAACCCTGTTGGAATGCTGAGTGGGTTTAGATTCATTTTGATGTGAGGAGTCTGCAGGCGTTCCCGGGACAAGGATACGCAGCCAGGAGAGCCGGACTTGAGGAGGGCAGCCCTGCTGTGGAGATGATGCGGGCTCAGCTCAAGGCTTCCCACTCATGCGCCAGAGGAAATGTCATGTTCTATCTTCAAGGTGGGATGGCTGGATTTCATGCAGCTGAAGCCAAGGGAGGCTAAACGGCATTTCCAACACTCAAGTCAGATGTGAAGAAAGACTGCATGCGTTGTCTGTGTTTCTCGGCTCAAGGTTGGAGAATGAGGGGAGGAGAGGAGTGGAGGTGAGAACGCAGCCTAGACAGCTGAAGCGCGACAGCCAGATGGACACTGAAGGGCTGGAGAGACTTTCATGTTCACGGTGTCTTCTCTCAGGGCTTGGCTCGGCCCTGATAGGCAAAGGGCCAAAGAGAGAACTTCCGCTCTGAAGCCCCAGTTCCCTCAAGGGTGGAGCAGGACCAGCGGTGGCCTGGGCGGCTCCTGGCCCCCACGCCTCCCTGCCCATCTTTAAGATGCTAGTACAACTAACCGTCGGTTTCCCAGGCGGAGACTTAAAACCACGCGTAGCCACAGAGCGCCTCTCTGGGCCCAGGAGGAGCTAAAAAGGAGCCGTCACTGCATGCCCAGAGAGGCGTGACGGGGTGTCCCTGAGGAAGCAGGAAGCAAAGGGTTCCCACCGGGCCCTCCAACGCCGGTGAACTAGGTGGTAACCGTCTGCTCTGAGCACGTGGCCTGGGGTCGGATGGTGTGTCTCCAACCAGCCAGCACGGCCCCCAGCTTCCAGGAACTCTGCCGGCGCCCAGGGAAGGGCTCCTGGTGCTCAGGGAGTTTACTGACCTTGTCGACAGGGAACGGAACTGGCTCTTTCTTAGCTGTATTAATGAAAAATACTCTAGGGCTTCCCTGGTGGTCCAGGAGTTTAGAATCCACCCTGCCAATGCGGGGGTACAGGTTCGATCCCTGGTCTGGGGAGATTCCACATGCTGTGGGGCAACTAAGCCTGTGAACCATAATGACTGAGGCCCGCGTGCCACAACTGAGGCCCACGTGCCACAACGACCGAGGCCCGCGTGCCACAACCGAGGCCCACGTGCCACAACGACTGAGGCCTGTGGCGACTGAGGCCCGCATGTCACAACGACTGAGGCCCGCGTGCCACAACGACTGAGGCCTGCGTGTCACAATGACCGAGGCCTGCGTGCGACAACGACTGAGGCCCGCGTGTCACAACGACTGCAACCGAGGCCCACGTGTCACAACAACCGAGGCCCGCGTGTCACAACGACTGAGGCCTGCGGCGACTGAGGCCCGCGTGTCACAACGACTGAGGCCCACAACGACTGAGGCCCGCGCACCCTGGAGCCCATGCTCTGTAACGAGAGAAGCCCACACACCCAGAGAAGCCCAACTAGAGAGGAGCCCCCGCCTGTTGCAACTAGAGAAAGCCTGCATGCGGCAACGAAGACCCCGCACAGCGAAAACAAATAAATACAGTTATTTAAAAAGGAAAATACGCTTTAGGATTGCACTCTCCAATACACTAGCTGAGAGCCGCTTATGGCTACTGAAATGGAAATTAATAACAAATTAAGTAAATTAAAAATTGAGTTTCTCAGTCTTACTTGCCACATCTCCAGTGGTCAGGGGCCACTCGTGGCTGGTGGCACAGAGCATCTTCACCCACACGGCAAGTCCCACCGGGCCATTCATCTCCTATCCTATGTCCTGCTTCCATCCACAAGTGGGCGTGGCCCACGATGCTATGCAGTGCCTGCTGCTCCTACGTGGACTCGTTACCATTAGATATTGCTGTTTAGATAGTGACAAAGGACTTGCACTGGACAAGACTGGCTTGTACTCTACAACGTTCTTAAGGTTTTGGATGACTGCACCCATGGACACTCAGAATTAAGACTGATGCCTCTTCCAAGGATGTTTGCTAGCAGCTCAAGGACTGCCAGTAATACAGAATCCAATCTCTGTTCCTGACTCTGCTACTTTTTAGAGAGAAAACTGCTCAACGTCAGTGCCCCCTGCCAGGTTTCACTGGGATCAACGGATACGTGTTACTTTACATTTCACTTGCTCAAGAATCCTGCTGACTGGCAGCCCTCAGGATCCACATGTGCCTGTGGGTTGGCCCCACGCCCCAAATGGTCTCTGGCTTTCGATGCATGCTAGCGACTCAACCCACCTTCGCGTTAGCTTGAAAGCTCCTTCTTTGCTTGACACATTTACCCATTTGGGGCAAGCTTTCTCTCTGCCTCAGAGGAGCTAACACCAATAGTGCTGCCTGAGCAGCAAACCCCCAGAGAGAACCCATTACTGGCAGGGCCGCCGGGTGCCGTGAGGCCCGGGAGCAGCGTGCATTCCGACGGAGTTTACAGAAACCCAGCTGTTCCGTTCACTCCTCTGCTGCTAATTCCAAGGTGCTGCTACTGTTACTTCAAACTGTAATGGTGTCTACAAACAGTTTGCACTTTCAGAGCGGCAGGATCCTAGGGGGTAATTAACAAACCCCAGGAATAATCTCTTTAAAAGCCTTTAAAAGCAACCTCGATGGAGGCCACCATGATGAAACAAAACTGCCCTTCCCCTTCTCCGTGGTGGTAGCATAGACCTGGCCGCCTCCTGGAGGGGCTGGGCGAACGTGGGTGTGGGCTTTGCAGTGACTCCAGAGGTGTGAACTGAAATCAAACCCGCGGAACTTTCTGACTTGGGGGGGGGCTCTGAAGGCGGGCTGAGATTACAGGCGTGAGAAGGAGGGTTCAGGAGGGCCATTTGATGGTGGGGTGGGGGATGTGTCCTTACCATGGACCAAGCCAAGCCAGGAGACCGCGTTCACCAGGACGCCGCCCTTCCGGAAGTGGTCGCTCATGTGCTCCAGCCAGTTGGCATCCAGACCGCTGACCGTCGGGCCGTTCTTGGAGACCCGGAGAGGAATGCTGACGGGGTAGTACTGCCGGCACTTCTGATGGCTCTTCGGTTTGTTGAAAAGGGCGAAGATCTCCATTCCTGCGGGGATTCGCAAAGAGAACGGGGAGACAGGAGGTCAAACGGTGACAAACTGCCTTATGGGGCCAGATACGATCTAACAGGAACCTGCAGACATGGCGTCAAAGGCTGCATGTTGCCTAACAAGAAAACCCAGGCAGCATGTCAGGGAGCCTCGAAAGCGACACAGGCCTCGAAGGCTGAGTCCTACGGGGACTGCCAACAGAAAACCGGCACTTGTCATCCGCGCCCACGAGGATGAAGTCCTCGGCCACTGCAGCCATGGATCTTCAACACCCCCTGAGAGGCATCCAGAGCGGAGATCAGGAAAGGGGTATTCTGTGCTCTGCGAAAAACTGGCAGGTCAAGCCTTTAGAGAGATATCTTTAAGAGAACATTTTATGAGCCAAATTCTTGCATCTCCTCCAATTGAGAAAAGGACTAAAATCATTACTGGTGACATCTGCTCCTTGTGGCTAGCAGCAAGCCTCCACCAAAACGTGTGCCTGACCACACATATCCCCTTCACTGAAACCATATGTAACACTGACCTCTCCCCCTACCTCTCTGGAGCCGTTTTTCAGGGCTACCGGAAATGTTGTCTCCCAGGCTAAGTCCCCAGTAAAACTTAACTCGCAACTCTCACGCTGTGCATTTTTTAGTCAACAGGACTTATTCCTGAATATGACACATGATGAACAGCTGTTAGCTAGGATTAGTTGGTATGGTTTAGGTGTTTGAAAGGACATAGTAGACATTTCTAGAAATCCATACAAAGGTGTATTTTAGAAGAAAAAGCAGACATGTTTTTGGGGTAAGAGCTGATCTTTTTTTTTTTTTAAAAAGGAAATGCACAGAGGCACGAAAAAACAAAAATACTGCCGTAATTCCAGGAACTTTGCACCTCCCTGAATTCACTATTTATAAACTGCAGTGGTGTTTCCTGGGGCTGAGCGCATAATACTTAATCAAGTGCATCAAAAATACATTATTGAAATGTAAAAATAAATACGTTCCAGTAAGTGAGGGTTCCTGCCTGGAGTGGTAAGGCCCCTCCAACAGCCACAGAGGCCCTGACAGTGAGGCGCAGCTTCCTGGGCCTTCCTTTATGGCTGGGCTCTCTACAAACTGATGCTCCCTGCCACCCGGCAGCTGACCCTTGCCTCCCGCCCTACGTGCAGCCGGCCACGAGCAAGCAGCCTCAGCTTCCGGAAGCAAATACCTGGAGTTTCAATCGAAGGCTGAAGGTCTATTTTTGTGTTACTTGTTTAGTCGGGCAATCAAGAGTTCACCCCGCTTGAGAAGCTTTGCTTACACCGGCTACTCAGGAACATGCTTTGGTTTCCAAAAATATCTACTCAGATAATAACAAAATCCCCACCCTTCTTCCAAAGAAATATTCTAAAGGTCATAAACAATGGCTGACATTAGCAGAAAAGACAAGGGACACCCACACACTCCCTGTAGGAGACACCTTGCCTGGACCCCACATTCTGGGACACTGCACCCCCTATTTATTTCCGTTTTCCAGTCTCCAAATACATTACCTTTGAAAATGGACCCACTTTCCTTTATCTAGAAAAGTGTGCTTAAACAGGAAACGATGCTTCACGACCATGAGGGAAACCATCACCATTTGCCACAAACAGGAGCAAGTGGTGAGGCACTTTCACACCAAAAATGTTTCTCCACGTAGCATCTCAAGTTATCTCACAGGACGACTGTATTTTGGGACAAAGGGAGTCTTTCCACAGCCCCACCTGAGTGAGCGCCAGCAGGGACCCCAGGGAGCAATTCCGGGCCAAAGACTCTGCTGTCAGCAACAGTGAAGCCGTCAGGCAGGCCGTTTCGAGCTATCCAGGGGCTAGAATCAATGAGGAAGGAGGGGACCCCGTCTTCACAAACGGCCGCCCGGCCCTCCAACAACCAATGCTGGCCTGTCCCTCATCCCCACCCCAAATTATTTCCTCGGTCCACTTCCCTGACTCAGGAAGCCATGGAAAAGGCAGCCGGCATTTGCTTTCAGGGGAGAAATTAGCTCTTGGTATATGGAGCTAGCAATCCCCCGACTATTTTGTTTCAAATACAAGCGTTAGCCATGGAATCATGCCGAGAAAGGTTTGTAAAGGAAGAGAATCAAGCAAGGGCATTAGGGCTGGGGGGTGGGAGAGGAAGTGCCCTTTTCCAGTCCGAGGAGTCGGGGGTTCAAGAGCTGCAGCTGCTAAAAGGGAAGAGTGGAAGGCAGGCTTTAGGGAGGGCTTGACTTCGTCTCTTCAAAAGCAGACCCTGTAAGTTTCGGGGTGCAAGCTGTTTCTCTGGGGAGTCATCCCAGACAATAAGAGTGGGGGAGCAGGGATAAGAAACAAGGGGGAGACGAAAGCCAAGGCAGGTTACTGGGGACTGGAGATGCCGCGTGTTGCCCTATGAGGGACAAGGAAGGCGGGCATCTGTCCTCAGGGATTGAGGCCATTCCTGGGGCATTAATGCCTGGGGCACCTGCCCATTCCAGAGAACACCGCAGGCAGAGGCTAGGGAAGCTGTCCTCAGGTGACCCCCACGGTGGGCCAAAGCATCCATCACCGCACTCAGTGACGATCAAGCAAGCCCAAGGGCACGCAAACTAAGAAGAAAAAGAAACCACAGCCTCCACAAGGGGAACTGAGAAGCGGCCCAACACCTGATCACACAGAAGGACTCCCAGTCACACGGCAAGACAGAAGCATGACTTTCCCACACGCATAACGAAACAGAAAAGGGGAAGGCCGAAGGAGAAGGCGGGTGCAGGCCCGGGGCTGCGAAGACAGAGCCTGCAGACCCGGCTGGAGGCAGGGTGCTGCCAGCGCGCCCAGCTCTCCATCTGGGTCCTCCCCGGGGAGCGGGGTCAGAGCCAGAGACAGAAATAAGACTTTTCGGGAAGAAAGCGGGAAGGCTATTGGAATCAAGAGCCTCCAAAGCATGAGAAGAAACCTGCTTGCAGATGCCCAGCCCCGCAGTAAACTCTGTCCCGCCGGCTCCCCGGTCACGGTCTTCGCCCGGAAACCAGCCAAGAGAAACTGTCCCCAGACGACACCCTTTGATGCTTTAATGTTCTGGCTCTCCAGCACACATCCTCACGGGAGCGGCCACCAGGCATTCCACAAAGACCAAGTGTGTTTACATTTTCTCAGCTGCTCCGTTGACTCTGCCCTGACCCCAGCTGGAAGATTTTTGCAGACACGGCACGGAGTCCCCAAGGAGGGGGAAGGCGTTGTTGCTGAGAATGTTCCGAGGATGGCTGCGGGCCGGGCCTGGAGGGCACCCAAGCAGCTTCCAGACGGTCCTGTCTTGTATTTCTATTTCTGTCTCGTCTCCTCTGACCCCCGTGCACACAGGGGCAGGGAGCCTGGTCTGGTGCCACCTAGACCCTCGGTGTCCAGAAAAAGTGGCAGTCTAGAAAACACGTCCGGGGCTGCATGTGCATTCGCTGGACTGACCTCAGCCAGAAAAGCGCAAGCAGCCGGGGTGGGGGGCACGGGGTGCCTGCAGCTAGGGTCAGCCAGCCAGGCCTTGTCAGGCTCCCTGGGAACGAGCAGGAAGAAGGCAGACGCCCAGGTCCGAGGCGGGTGCTGGGCAGTAGGGACGTAGGCACGGGACGGGCGCCTGCAGTCTGTCTGCAGCTGGGGCCCCCGGAAGATGGTGACCCGCAGGTTGAGCTGCCGCGGTCCTAGCACCCTGGGGGACCTCCAGGCAGCAGGAAGGAGGGGGGGCTCAGAGTCGGGCTGAAGGCACGAGCTCCCCGGGCTGGACGGGGAGAAGGAGCTGGCTGGCACGTCGGCCGGGGTGGAAGGAGAAGTGGGCACCAGACTTGGCCTGGGAGCCAGGCTGGGCAGGGGCCCTGGTCAGCTGAGGTCACCTCAGGAGGGCTGGAGCCAAAGGTTACGCTGGGAGGACGGGGTGGTGGGCACCACAGCGCGAGAGGGAGGAGGGGCCTCAGGCCCAGCCAGGTGCTGGGGGCGGGGAGACGCCGCTTCCGGTGTGGGTGCAGCGTGGGGCGCCTCCGGGCCTGGGGGAGGTCGGCTCGCCAGGCAGAGTGTGGGACCCACCGCCTGGACAGCAGTTGCGGGAGGCGAGTATATCAGTGAGGGTCGTCACTGCCACCATCTCCTGCGATGCCCACCTCCACGGGGAAACTGTGTCCCTTCTACGCCCCGGAAGCCTTAAATGGATTCCTCAGAATCACAAGCCGGCAAGTGGCAAAGCCAATTCAGTTGAGTCGCTCAGCTGTGTCCGACTCTTTGTGGCCCCATGGACTGCAGCATGCCAGGTCTCCCTGTCCATCACCAACTCCCAGAGTCCACCCAAACCCATGTTCATCAAGTCGGTGATACCATCCAGCCATCTCATCCTCTATCGTCCCCTTCTCCTCCTGCCCTCAATCCCTCCCAGCATCAGGGTCTTCTCCAATGAGTCAGCTCTCACATCAGGTGGCCAAAGGATTGGAGTTTCAGCTTCAACATGTCAAGACTCTTCCAAATCTCCCAACCCTGGGCTGTTTCCCAAACCTCACGAGAGGCCAGTTTCCTCAGCAGAAAGAGCGGGAGCTGACGCTCATAGGCAGGCGGGGAGGTGCTCAGCGGTCGCTGTAAACAGACTGAGTGCAAACGGCCAAGCCAATGGCGGCAGGCGGGGGAGCGCACGGACCCCAGGGCAGAGCTGTCCGGGGGCTCCGGGAGGGGAGGACCAGGTCCGGTGAGGGAGGGCAGACTCAGGGGCCGTCCTCCCATAAGGAGCTGCCTGCCAGGACGCTTGCTCATAGAAGGCCCTGGAGAAGGACACGGCGATCCGGCTCAGGCTTCTGCATTCTGGACATTTCAAGTGAGCCGGTGTAGGTAGGAAGGGCAACTCGGGGACAACGCTGCGTTATTACTTGGGTGACAGAACAAGCTGAATCTGCATGAACCAGGGTGGCCCCCTTGTTTCTCCTACTGATGCTGCAGCGCCCGAGACCAGACAGGGATGCTGGAGGCCAGACGAGAAGGCCGGGGAACACCTATCCATCAATGCCGCTCTAAGCTTCCCGAGCCCAGGCCTTGCCCCCTGGCCTGCTTACGGTCAATGAAGGAAACTGCCCCCCTCCACCCTGGCACAGAAATGGACCGGGAACCCAGCCCCAGGGTGGGCTGGCTCTTCCCGGGGGCCCTGCATCCACCTGCAGCCGGGAATGAGGCAGGTGTGGAGGGAGGCCCGCCCGGCGGACGTCAAACCGACAGAACGCTCCCCAGACAAGGGTAGCCCGGGTGGATGTGGGGAGCGAACCCCTGGACCCAAGTGTTCCCACGGCCCAGGGGTGGGGGGCTGCCCAGACAGACGGAGGCCCCCCGGCGCTTATACAGCGGATGAATTAAAGGCAGAGTGGCGGCGGGAGCAGGGAGGCACCCACCAGGTCTTTTTTTAATTGTCTTGCTGTGATTGCCTATTTAAACCCACCTGGCAGGAAGCGGAGTTAAAGCACTTGGCCCTCCTTAGGGGTTCCTGAGAGGAGTGGGGTGGGGAGGGGGCGCTGGGGGATGCCCCGGGATGGGAAAACAACCAGGACGGAAGCTGGGCTGAGCTGAGGGGCCGGGCCAGCTGACCAGCGGGGAGAGCATCCCTGGCCAGCCTTCGAGGGGGCGGAAACTATGCTCAACTGATGCTCAACGCAAAGTCGCTCAGTCGTGTCCAACTCTGCAATCCCACGGACTATTCAGTCCATGAGATTCTCCAGGCCAGAATACTGGAGTGGGTAGCCTCGCCCTCCTTCAGGGAATCTTCCCGACCCAGGGATTGAACCCAGGTCTCCCGCATTGCAGCCGGATTCTTTACCAGCTGAGCCCCCGGGGAAGCACCAACGCTCAGACTACGAGATAAAGTGTAGCTCTACGAGGGCGCACAGGCCACTTCCTGTATCTGCGACACAGGCGTAGTAAGAGCATCTTCTGTCAAAGCGCCTGTGACGCACGGTCACCCAGGCAAGCGGAGAACCGGCCACTGGAGGGCTGTCACCATGATGACCGTCCTCTGTCTGTCCCCTGGAGGCCAAGCCTGGGCACCAGGACCCCCTGCGTGTTCACGGGCTGATGAGAAAGAGGCAAAGATTCATTTATTCCACAAGAAGAGACAGAAGGGCCACAGTGAGCCACCTAAGTCTCAAAGAGCTGTGGCCTCCTACGAGGAGAGCTGAGAGCCAGGCTCATGAGCAGACCACAGACAGACAGACAGACAGCCGCCTACCAAGCAGGACTGGGGGTCAGGGGCACCATCACCCCTCATAGCTGCAGTTTTCACACGCACTCGGGCTGACCGCCTCCAGATGCACCTGAACCGTGCATCCCTCAGAAGGTTCTGGTTTTCCGGTAGAGAGCAGGGGCTTGAGGAAATGAGGTGCAGGCCAAGACACTTGGGTGTTGGGGGGGCATCTCTGGGGTGTCCCCCCAGTGATGGGGGAAGGGTCTGAGGGAAAGAACAGTCACATACAGCAGGGGGGACCCTGGGGGGGAAGTCCTGGGACAAGTCTCCCCAGTTACTTAACCCCAGGGGGCAGGCGGTCTGGAGGGAGTCTTGGAGGAAGGTGCACTCCGGAACAGGGAACGTCTGAAACTCCTGAGGGGCCCTTCAGTATCGACAGCCTCCTTTCTCAAAGCCAGGGCTCCGTGCAGAGCTGGGGCAGTGGTCAGGATGACGGGGCCTGCACCCCAGTGCTAAGGGCGCCTGCTTCGGAGTGCTTTAAGTGGACATCTCATCTGGCATGCATGCTCTGTCGCTCAGTCATGCCCAGCTCTCTGCAACCCCATGGACTGCAGCCCGCCAGGCTCCTCAGTCCCTGGGATTCTCCTGGCAAGGGTACTGGAGTGGGTTGCCATGCCCTCCTCCAGGGGATCTTCCTGACCCAGGGATCAAGCCCTCATCTCCTGCACTGTACGCAGATTCTTTACCATCTGAGCCACCACAAATCAAGGCCCGGATGAAACACTAGTCCTAATCTCTCCGAGAAGTGAGGTGGCTACCATCTCCCCTTCTCAGTCATCTTTGCAGACAAGCCCCAGGATTAACCATCCCACAATTTTCTTTTCGAGATCTACAACATAACAAGGAAAGCTATTTTACCCTCTCTTTTTTTTGACTGCACCATGTGGCATGCGGCATCTTAGTTCCCTGACCGAGGATTGAACCTGTGTGCCCTGCAGTGGAAGTGCAGAGTCTTAACCACTGGACCTCTAGGGAAGTCCCTCACCCTTTTCTATTCTCAGAGCATAAGCAGTTTCTCGTCATTTATAAGAAGCTAACCTCAAGAATTAGTATATAAATAATAACATTAACCAGGGGATTCCCTCATAGCTCAGTTGGTAAAGAATCTGCCTGCAATGCAGGAGACCTGGGTTCGATTTCTGGGTGGGGAAGATCCCCTGGAGGAGGGCATGGCAAGCCACTGCAGTATTCTTGCCTGGAGAATCTCATGGACGGAGGGCCAGTCCATGGGACTGCAAGAGTTAGACACAACTTGGCAACTAAACCACCACCACCAATAACGTTAACCAGGGAGATGATCCAGAAAGGCCTAAAGAGAAAGTCTTCCTAAGACCTGGGCCTCCTTCCATCAGTCTTGTCACTCGTCACCTTCCAAAGGGTAGACAGCTCATACAAGGGCCTGGCTTCCAGAAAACGGCGGGACGTGAGATTTCTTGGAGCAGGAAAGTGAAAGAGAATCACACGGAAACGAAGAGAAACGTCACTCTCTGCAGTCTGAGGGCCTCAGTAAACCCTGATCGGCTGTTTGAGCATCACACAGGAAGGACCAGGTGGGGAGCCGGCCTGGGCTCACCCAGCAGATCTGTTTCCAGCCTGGGCGACGGATGGACTCTCTGAACCTCAGTCTGCTCAGCTGTAGAGGGGGTGATGATGCAAAGCAGCCATCCACATCACAGGAAGAAGGAAGCCGTCGTTAACACTGGCTGCCAGCCTCCTTCCTGAATCATTATTTGAAATCTCCAACCTAAAGTCCATGCCCCAGCAGCCGTTAAACACCACGACTCAGAACAGTCGCTTCCCGGTGGCCTCTCCCTGGCCACGTGTGTTCCACGGTGCTGGCCTGTCCACGAGACAGACTCCCTGAAGCCTGGCTGTTTACAGCTGCGAGGGCTGAATCACCAGCTTCCTGCACACCTCGTCCTCAGCTGGTGCTCTGGATTTCCTTCTTTAGGCAGAAATTCAAAACAAGAGGATCAGACGTGGAAGGTGCTTTCTGCACCGGTGCCCAGCCATCACCACGTTTCCTGGGGTCACACGGGGTCATGTGGGGGCAGTGCGTGGGCGTGGGGGAGAAAACACCTTGCATTCTAGAACCTGCTGCACATGTGACATTCTGGAGCCGCGACAAGTCAGAGTCACATGGTCTGCCAACCCTCCGCCCCCAGAAGGCACAGCCTCAGGAAGGAAAAGAGTCAGGAGGCCTGGAAAATTGCCTGACAGCTTCTCCTGTTTGATGGACTGCCATCTCTACGCTCAGATTCCATTCATTTTTCCTAAAAGACCCCTGGAGATTACTGGAAAGCTAGCAGCCGCACTCCAAGCGGCTCAGAGTCCCGGCGCTGACATACTTACTGGCCGCGGGCGGCTCTCCAGGCCCTTCCGACGGCAGATCAGCATCTGGTCCCTCCCGAGTCCCTCGAGCAGGAGACTCTGCACCGTCCCCCTCTCCTGGGAGCAAGCTGGGCTGCTGGGCGGCGGGCGTCTCCCCTCGGGGGTCCTGGCCAGGCTCCGGGCTTCCGTCTGTCCCCGCTGCAGCGTCTGCAGCCCCCAGCTCCTCCGCAGCCCCACGACCGCCAGGCTTCTGTGTCGCGTCCTGGGCATCTGCTGGGGCGCAGCCGTCCGCCGGGCTCCCAGGGCAGCGGTACTGAGGCACGACCCCGACGAACTTCAGGCCACGACTCGCAGCCTCCTGGATCTGCGAGGCAAACCAAACCAAGGGAAACGGGTAAACTGGATGTTCCATCAGAGCAGGGGCACACACGGCACCTCAGGGAGGCCTCGGGGGTGTTTCTGTGTGTGTGTGTGTGTGCGTGCATGCGTGCGTGCGTGCGTGCGTGTGTGTGGCTACAGCACACAGAAAACGGGATCTTAGTTGTCTGACGCTGAAGCTGAAGCTGAAACTACAATCCTTTGGCCACCTGATGCAAAGAACTGGCTCATTTGAAAAGACCCTGATGCTGGGAAGGACTGAAGGCAGGAGGAGAAGGGGACGACAGATGAGATGGTTGGATGGCATCACTGACTCGACAGACATGAGTCTGAGTAAACTCCGGGAGTTGGTGTTGGGCAGGGAGGCCTGGCGTGCTGCGGTCCATGGGGTCACAGAGAGTCAGAAACGACTGAGCGACTGAACTGAGTTCTCCAAGCAGGGATCGAACCCACGCCCAATTGCACTGAGTCTTAACCAATGGAGCACCGGGGAAGTCTGGATGTTCCTGTTTGAACGTGAAATCTTTCAAGCTGGCCAAGGCTCCACCTCCTCAAGGCGGTGCCCACACCCCAATTCTGGCCTGACTGGGAACAGAGAGCATGGGACTTGTTTTCTTAAACTGTAAAAAGAATAAAGCATTTGACTGTGAAGGGCTGGGATGGCCTCTCTGTGAAACGCTACGTTAGTCCCAATTAGTAAGTTTTTTTTCCTAAGAAGCTGAAAAAAGTTTCTATAAAGGATGAGCTGGAACAAAAAGAGGCTGAAAGAGGAAGCTCATTTTGGTAAGAGTTTATTTTTTGTGTGATTTTTTTTTTTTTCTGATGAATCACCTACTTCCTGCTAATCAGGCTACTGTATAACTCAATACATCTATATAACCACATACTAACTACCAGATGACATTTTATGACCCAAAGAGCTTCCTCTCTGAAACAATTGCTCTGGAAGAGAAGGGCAAAGGTGGCAGGAATCACCCGTGTGCAAAAGCTGATGGCACTCCCCGAGAGAGGGGAAGCAAGGATGCCCGAAGGCCATGCCCAGCCCGTGGGCACTGCACAGCTGACCCACGGCTCTCCACCCCCATCCAGTCCAGGTAACAGGTGGCACCTTCTCACCTCTTGAGCCTCAAGACGGGGGACACACGGCTGCAAGAGTTTTGGGCCGCGTGAACCCTCCCCTCCCTAAAAAAGCAAACCCGTCCCCGCCACAGGCAACTGAATGTAACTGTCATAAGTGAAAGACAAACAGAAAGTCAAAGCTAAACAAAAGCAGAGCCGGCCAAAATTTGAAGACAGGCTCTAGGGGACTTGTTGGGCAAGGGTGCTCAAGTCTCTTTACAAATGCTGCAGGAGGGGGAGACCTCGGAGCCCTGGGAGGCTCAGTCACCAACCCCCGAGTGGATGACCTCAGAAAGCTGGCAGGCGTCAGCAGCGACCCGCTCCTGTCTTTTGAGAAGGATTAAGAAACACCAGCATGAGCACCTCTCCAGAGGAGTAGCAAGCATCAGCCGCCCTCTGCAGATGACCCACCCGAACTTAAGGCAGAAGGTCGTTTTAGTTCAGCCCTGGCCGTTCTGGAACATGATCTGGAGCAGTGATACAAAAGTACAGCCCAGTTCAGTTCAGTTCAGTCGCTCAGTCATGTCTGACTCTGCAACCCCATGGACTGCAGCATGCCAGGCTTCCCTGTCCATCACCAACTCCCGGAGTTTGCTCAAACTCATGTCTGTCGAGTCAGTGATGCCATCCAACCATCTCATTCTCTGTCGTCCCCTTCTCCTCCCACCTTCAGTCTTTCCCAGCATCATGGTCTTTTCAAATGAGTCAGTTCTTCACATCAGGTGGCCAAAGGATTGGAGTTTCAGCATCAGCATCAGTCCTTCCAAAGTCTAGCCTGTGCTAGATGTAATGATTACCAAGGATCTACTATGTGTCAAACCCTGCACCATGCATTTTATATCAACGGTTTGGTTGGAGGATTAACTCCAACAACCCTACATGGTATCATGACCTTCATTTCAGATGAGGACACTGAAGCCCAGAGACATTAAAGTCATAAACTGAGCTGTGGGCAGCCAGGTTCCAAGTCAGGTTTGGCTCAGGTCCAAGTTCATTCTCTTAAGTACAAGGCCAAGTGGACACATGTCAAAGCATCAAGTTCTCGGGTATGCACGTGTCCACACAAGTGCCCGCGGCTGGCGCAATTCACACTTCAAACGTTTTTTTAAAAAAACCTTGAAGTCATCATTTCCATTCTGAAAATTCATTTTTTACCCTTTAAGCTGTGATATCTACCTATTTTTTAGAAATTGTGTTAGAAAGCTTCTAAAAGAAGACACAGGCCACAAACTTTTTAAAAACAGAACAATGAGGAGGTAATTGTACCAAACAGCCTGAGGCTGAAGGAGGCTAAGCGCCGAAGTTCCTAGCAGCACAGGCAAAAGAGAAATGCAGTGGATTAACTCATGGTCAGTAAGAGAGAAGCGTAATTTGCTAGTGATCTGTCTAACATACAGTAAGTAGGTGATCGATAAGGATCTGTTGAATGAACGAGTGAATGAACACATTAAATACCGAGTGGGTCTGTGTCTCTTCTTCCAGAATGACTCCTGGAAGGTAGGGATGGAGACTGATTTTTCAGCTCTAGAACCCAACAAACCAACAAACATTTATTAGGTTCCTACACTGGCTCAAAACAGCATCACACTTAGGTGCTGGGGCTACAAAATAGGAGTCTTAACTGTCAAAAGATTCAGCTGATTACGGTAAACATATTTTAAAAATAATTATACTACTGTGGCACAATAATGTTTATGTTATGATGATAAAAAATAAAGATTCTAAACTTTTAAAACAACATTATGATAGCTATATGTGTAATTTTTCAAAATTTATCTAACAAGCATACATATTATCTTTACAACTGAAAATAAGTACACATTTCAGAAAATTTTCATAGAGAAGCTAAGCGCAGTAATGGATATAAAGGTAGAGAAAGTGATTATTTCCGCCTGAAGGGGACACTGAGACCTTTCTCACAGAAGGTCAGGGCTATTACAAATGAAATAGGGTGACATAGCTGGAGGAGGCGAAGGCCACGGCAGAGCTGGAGTGTGTCAGCCGCCCCTACGACACTCAGATTCAAATTTTTCCCCAAATATCACGCTAAGCAAAACCTATTTGGGGACTCAACCTGCAGGAGGCTTTGAAGGATGAATAGGAGTTCACCAGACAGATGGAAGAAAGGGATAGGGCAGTGCAGGTAAGATGGATCATCATGGTCAAAGGCCTGATGGTGTGCAACAGTCTGGGTATTGAAGAAATTTCTAGGAATATTTCTGGAACATGACATGAGAAGCCAGGAGCGCCCAGAAATGAGGCTGGACCAGAAATCACAAGGGCCATACCATGGGTGTCACCAAATAACAAGACAACGAAGGCTCAGACTTCACTCAGTAGCAACGGGTCCCTAACTTACCCAACACAGCAACTCCGGAGAGCAGATGGGCCGGGGGTGGGGGTGGGGGTGGGTAGTGTCCAAGGGCAAAGCTCAGATTTCTCTGAATGCTCATCTTTTACCTAAGCATTAATGAAAGTGTTGTATCCTACACCTGGCATTGTTTAATAATCAAAACTCTTAAAAAGATGCTCAAGGTAAATGGTAAAGACACTCCCTCTCCCCATGGCAAACCTTCCAGGGAACGTGTATCTCAAGAATATGAAACATCCTTGTGCACACATCTTTGCAGCTCTGCTTACCTCCTTGGGGTGGATTCCTGGAAGTGGAATGGATGGGCCAAGGGATATCAGCTCTTCAAAGGCTGGGTGCAGGCTGCCAAATTGTTTCCCAGAAAGGGTGAGCAGTCTTTTTTTAACCAGAAAACCCACATTTAGATTTTATAAAGATCAGTATTCGGCCAGACCTTAGGGGCTGTGACACCTTTGATTTCTCTAGAGGTGTCAAACCAAACTCTATTTGTTACTCATTCACTCATTCCTTCATTTATAACCTTCGTTAAGCAAGTCTCACAAACCTCAGAAAGGCAGGCATGAGAAGGTGTTCATCAGGGTTCACTTCTGACCACCAGCTCTCCTCACCCCATGGGACCTCCTCAGATTTAGGAGACACTCACTCAGATTTAGGGACTAGTCATGTGTTCATTACTCCCAAGTTTGGACTCCCCAGCCCTGCCTTTCCTCTGGGGCTCAGAGCTCCATGGCCAATGATCACAGCTGATGGGTCCACCATGGGTCTCAAACTGGGGCCAAGGTGCTTCTTCTTCAGCTCCTTCCTTTCTGTGACCTGTGTATCCACTCACCAGGTGCTGCCAGGCCACCCTGCGATGTTTCTGGAGTCCCACCCCCGTCCTCCAGACATCCAGGTCACTTCACTTTCAGGGCCTTGCCAGTTGCTACTGGACACCACCATGACGTCAAGCTGTGGCAGGTCTTCAAGAGCATGGAATCGAATCCATACAGAAGATCAAACCCTGAGCATTCAAGCCACCTTGGGGAAGGAGTTCCCCACAGACTGTCACACACAAGCCCAAGTAATTTCTCTAATAACTGCAATCAGATCATGGCAACGATTGATCCGACTCTGAGTGTCTTAACACACATCAGTGCTGCTAAATGATGGCACTCCTTCACATCACACAACCCAAACTGTCCCAAGATGCACACTCAATACAAGATTTAACTGAAATACACCCTCATCCACCTTCTTATCACATCGGCTGCATTTAAGAACAATCCCACCCCCAACACTTAAACTCCTGGTTTAAGCACCAAAAATTAAACAAGACGGTTTTCAACTGACCCAAGACTTCGTTCAGCTCTGATGAGTAAGAACAAATGGCGATAATTACATTCTCCTGACGTAAAACCAGACATGATAATGTGAAAAAGGTTTCTTATTTCTTTGGTTTCTTTTTTCTATTGAAAAAAATCTGTTTCTATAAAAAGTCTCAATGCATCAGAAAATGA